CAATGCTAACTGTAGTTTTCTGGTGTTGTACTTTCTGGATCTGCTCGGCGTATTGTGCTTGGCGATGGCAAAATCATTCTATGGCAATACCATGTGGTAACATAACTTCCATAGTTCATACGCCCAGCCAATCCCCTAGTTCCAGATCTATGTGAAAAAACAGAATTGAAAAAGAGATAGAACATTTCTTGGTTGAGAGGTATTGCTAAGGTATGTTGATGTCATCGACAGGCACAGGACCACGAGCCGGCCAGAATGAAGCATGGTGTCTAATATGGTTTCTCCCACGCACTTTAGACCCGGTTTTTATGGTTACACGGTACGAAGCCGCCAATATTTTTCAATAACTGGGCATCATTTTATTAATTTTCAACAATGTTTCAATGGATATTTCCAGAGATTACTGGTAAAAATGCATGCTGTCTTTTTTAATTGACAGTGTGTATTTCCCTGGCAATAAGGGGCAGTACATATTTAAATCATTGCAACCAAGAAGTATTTTTGTGTTCGAGGAAGACCTTGCCAATGCCAACCCGTTACGTCAAAAATCCCTGGGAGCGCGACCTCCAGCAAAATGTGAAGCACATCAGCGTCCCTTTCATCACTGGCAACACGTGAAGAGGTAAATGTTTAAAGTCTTTAAAAATGGCAACATTTTTGTAACCGTTTGTTACGAATCATTAAATGTGTTTGTCCTCGCAGGCTCACATAGAAGGAAACGTGGCGTCTAACATGCGTCGCCCAGAGACCCAATTTTTATGATTATTTTATAATGTATGTTTGAAAACTTTTGACTGATGACGCGCAGGCGGAACAACTGCACAGCTGATCATTTTATTGTCCAGGTCGTATTCTCATATGAAACAGGTACTTTCTTACATCAATGGTGATTAGATGCCAGACAGTACCTCACAGAGAGTGCAGATCTTTCAAGTGTAAATTGACGTGACAGCGGTCAACAGAAATGTCTCCCCAAGTCCACCCCGCCACCATAATGCAGGCCAGCACAAACAAGCAAATCCCAAACAATAGGTGCACGCTCATCATTATAACCACACCCACGGGGCAACCAACCACCTGAGGTGCAGAAGCACGTGAACACTCCGGCTCATTCACAAAAGGAAAACTACAAAACATGAGTGGCTCCTAGGGAGGGGTACCTTTGACATTTGAATCGATTTGGTACTAATTCCCGGTACCTAGGAATCGATACCGGTACTTAACGGTACCAATTTTCAATACTTTTGAGTGTTTATTATTTTAATTCTCTTTTATAATTAATTATATATTTTTCTCAATATATAACCATATTTGATAAATATCACGATAAATAACACACAACTGTTTGTATTTTAACATCGTCCTTGTAGTTTTATAAGCTGATAATTAAACTGAAGCAAACATCTTTACTGTGAACTAAATTTACTGTGTATCTTCATTCCTTTTGCCGTCTTTTTTCATTTGAGTTTTCCTACTGGGAAGTTAGAATTTCCGAGGAGAAAGAGAACGTACCATTAGCTGATAACAACGGTGGCAATGGAAGCTAACATATCAAGCTAACGTTATCTTAACAGTTTATTTAGCTACTGGAGCAGATTAAAACGATGATGCCTCACACTTAGATCGTTGTCGCTGGTTTCATCTTCACCCAATCACCTGTCACATTTAGTAAAGTGAAGCCAAACTTTAGAGCGCGTTCATGTTCTTCTAGTCGGAAATTCGGAGTTCCGAGGAGAAAGCTAACACACCAATAGCGAAACGGAAGCTAACATATCAAGCTAACGTTATCTTAAACGTTTTATTTACGTACCGGAGCAGATTAAGATGAGGATGTCTCACTTAGATCGTTGTTGCTGGTTTCATCATCACCCAGTTACCCATCACATTTAGTGAAGTGGACCCAAGCTTTAGCGTGCGTTCTTTCTACCCATGCTGCTCTGTTTACAACTGGCTCGCAGCAACCGACGACACAATGCTCTTGCGAATGCGCAGCTGTCTTGGCAAGTTATCGTTATGAAGGACGGGTACCGAAACGAGGCACCGTTTCAAATGAAGTGAATCGGTGCTCGGTCGGTACTATGGAATTCGGTCGGTACCTTAAAAAGTACCGAATTCGGTACCCATCCCTACTCCTACAGATTATATCTTACAAAGTTGCCAATACTTTTCAACAACTGGGCTTCATTCATTTTCAACATTTCGATATTTCCAGAGATTAATGGTAAAAACTACACATTGTCTCTTTAAGATATGCGGTTATATCTCTTTGGGTGTTTGGGTCCTATTGTGTTAGATGTCTGCTTCCAGTTTTGCTTCTCCATTTAATATTCTGTTTTTCAGGCTCGTTTTTGTTACTAGATGACTTTTTTATTTGTTCCTAGACCTGCTTCTGCTGTCTGCTTTCAAGGTCCTTCATACAGGGACAGAATAGTCAGAAAGGCTTTTCTTCTCAACAAATGTAAAAAGAAAGCAGGCGGTTTACACATTTTAATGGAATCAAGCACTTATTTCAGACTGGTTTGGGTTTTAGTACAAGTCAGAAACAGTTTCAGATTCCGATGAATCATTAACAAAAGTGTATTTTCTCTGTACTCCGCTGACACGAGTTAATATTGGTCCTTGTTTAAAAAACGGAATAAACTCATAAAAAGGGATGAAATAAAATGATTAGATAAATATGAAGTACTGACTTTGACACCTTTACGGATTTTAGTTTACCGTTGCTTTAAAACCAGCTCCGCTTCCAGCAGCTACAGCTCCAACATACAGTATGAACACGTTAATAATGCACGAGAGTCGTGTACACTAATAACTCTGTCAGTCAGAGGGCTCTAAAGCAGTGCAGTCACAACACCCTGCTGCAGATATTAATGTCATTCCATTTCAGTTGGATTTTTCATGCAGAACTTTAGATCGGGTTGTACCAGTTCTTACACACAAAGGATTTATTTGAAGTCCAAGACAAGAAAAAGGTCCTTTTCAATGCTTCAGAGCATGTGTTTAAGCGAATGAAGAAACCACCAAATCGAAAAGCTGACAAAACAGCCCTGTCACTCAGTTTCAGGCCGCTTAGACATCTACAAAAAACCAGTGAGTCATTTGAATTTGCAGTTATGTTACATTCTACTGATTCAGATGATAAATATACAGCTGTACCGCGTTTATCTTTATCAACGTCCCGTCTTTTGAATCACCACTTTAAGGGGAATGGCTTTGAATCAAGAAATAAGGAATAATAAACTAAAACTGGGATTCCGACAGGTAAACCTGTTAGAAAAAATATCACATTTATACAAGAAGCTGTGTCTAATGTTAGCCTCTAAAGCCGAGAAAGAAGAGTAAGAGGATGCTGCTAAATGAGCCGGGAAGGGTTTGGTCCTGGATCTCTGAGATGGAGTGGTTGTATCTGCTCCAGGCTTGGGTTGCACAACTCAAGTCCTACATTGTCACATAAATATTATAACCAAAGTCTGCAGAATGACTTCTACGAATAAACACAGACAACCAAAAGGACAGTAAGAGACTGGGAAAAATAGAGTTCAGCTGCAACATTCAGCTGGTCGGGTCAGAATTTGGTGTAACCAACATGAAAGCATGGATCCATCCTGCCCCGTATCAGCGCTTCAGGTCGTGTAATGGGTGTGGTGTTTGGACACCTTAATACCACTTGAGCCTGGTTTAAACGCCACAGCCTACCAGAGCATTGTTACTGACCATGTCCATCCCTTTATCACCACGAGGACCCATCTTCTGATGACTATCCTAAGAGGTTCGAATGAAGGCAACTGAACTTCTGTGCTTCCTTGTAGATGTGTTGCTTCTCATCCAAGGAGCTTTGCCAGTTCTGACTGGAATGTGGAAGTCCAGATTATAAACTATAGCTGTCTATTGTTTCTTGATGAGCTGAAACTACCTATGAATACCCCTCCTCTGTGCCCCCTGAGGAGTCATTGAAGTCTTTAGGTTCTATTGTGTGGGAGTGGTGTTTAGATTAGATGCAGGAAAGTGTCCACGGACCAGAACCTCTGAGTGCTGTTTTCACCTCCATGTTGCACCTACTGTATGACAGATGGCTTAAGGTGGTTTTTGGGGGGGGGGTTGAACCCAGTACCAGTAAGGTGTGTATAAAAACAGTCGGTGTTTTCATCTTGAATAAGAACCAATAACAAAGTAAGCTTTCTTCATATGAACCAAAAGCATAAAAACGTATCAGAGTGGTCGCGCTGCTTCAGCTACTGCATTAGCAGTAAAGCCTCCTTGAGCAAGTGTTGTGTTTTATGTTGTTTATTCCTGTTAACGTTGTTTACTTTATTCCCAGGCTGGATCAAGGTGGCAGAGAGGTATCCACATGAATCTACCCTCAGGTTTGTAGTATAAGAACTATTATTTACACAGTGAAGGTCACAATTCGCAGGCCTGAGCAGAATTTAATTAAGTCAGGGGGATTGGCAGCTCTTGATAAAATGCACACTACTCAACCTAATTGCTTTTTGACAGCTCAGCAGAGTTTGCAGAAAGAAGATATTGGATTAATAAATGGAAAACCCCCCGCGTTCACCTATCCAAGCCATAAAAAGAACATCAGGCAGCTGCAGCGCGAGTCAGTCAGCGTCTGTGACAAGCGTGCGACGATGCGCCATGGAGATGGTTTTGGATGTGGCTGAAGCCTCAGCGGGTAAAAACTCCACCGGGCATCCCCATGTCGCATCTGGTTAGGTTCCTCAAGCGTTAACAATGGTTCCATTCACAGGGGAGTCAGGACTAATTAAACTGCAAATGCAAGTAATTAACACCAGATTCACCTTGAGGCCAAAACCAGAAGTGATCAACAGAGCATCGCTATGTTGCACGTTTCAGCTCTAGCAGACCTCGCTCAGTGGGTCTGCGCTGCTTAAACGTGAGGAAGATCTGAAGACATTCCAAGCCCGAATGACGGATGTTTCAGCTGCTTCATCACTTATGAAAGTAAAAGAGTTGTGATCAGCAGAAGAGGGTCAGACCTGATATTCGTTGGGCCAGAAGGTGCTGACGGCCAGCTCCACCTGGTGCCACTGTTTGCCGTGAGACCCCGATGCATTCCACACCGGATTCCCGAGCGGGCCGCCGTTGACTCTCACGTACGCTCGCAGCACTCCGGGACTGTGGCCGTCGCGGCTGTACAGGAAGTAGCTGAACTGGACGCAGTGCGTGTCGTTTTCACTCAGCGTCTGCAGCAGGAACTGAGCGCGATGGCCTGCGGCATGCTGGGAGGAGTTCACCAACATGTAAGACCCTAAAAGAGACAGAAAATGAAATCACACCAACATCAATCCATCTGTCAGGTTTACAGGAGCAACATATAATTGGAAAACATCAAAAAACCTAAAATTGGTTCGATTTAACGTGAAAGATTTATTTTTGCATCAACTTTCCGTTTTCCCATTAAAATTACATAAAGATTATATTGTGCTCAACCAAGTTTTTCATCAAAGTGTTACAGGTCGTCTTTGCCCCTGAAAGTAGTGAATTTGACTCACTTATGTGCAAAAACATTAAAATGCATCTAAACACCAACATACTGCACTTCTGAGCAACTGCCCTGAACACAGCGCTGTCTAACAGCGTCTGGTGTTCAGAAAACTGCTGTGGTTAAAATAAATCTTATATTTATATTCTGAGTTTCCTTTTGATCAAGTAGATTACAATATAAATTATATGCACACAGATCTATTTGTACTAATTGGGATCAAGCCCCCCCCCCCCCCCACACACACACACACACACACACACACACACACACACACACTCACACAGAGAAAAAGAAAGACACCTCAAAAGAAATAAAAACACTAGCATGAAAAGAATGAATTGAATTAATAGAAAATGAGTAATTTCTTGATTTCGTGATTCCTGAGAAGAGCTGTTATCATCAGGAGCAAGGAGGATGATAAATAAGCACCATCGTGTTTTAGTATGCCTGTCTGAGGCACAGATTGGTTCAGCTGTTCTTCGATTTGCAAATGAGCCACTGAGGGATTCGTGTTCTGTAGACTCCTACAAACCGAAGCCTGTCCGCCACAAAGGAGCTAATCTGCCTTTAACTACTTTTAGCAGAGCGAATCAGTAAGATGAAAGATTCAACCATCATCTGACAACCCAATGCTGCGTGTGGGCGGACGACAAAAAGAAAAATGTGCGCTGTTGTTGAACGTGGGGACACAAACAGACGAGACCAACGCGTGAGGGATGGAGGAGGGGCTGAGGCTGAGCAGAACTCACTGATGTTGGTTTTACTTCCACAAGGTGATGCTGAGGAGGAGATTCACAACTCCCCCTCCCCTCCAGCCCCAAACCTCCTCCTCTAATCAGGATAGCATAACCCCATTGCCCTTTGCCAAGCATCTGTCCTGCCTGGAGTCTGTGCCCGCTAACGTGATTAGCACAACAATGTTGGGAGACCTTCCTGTGTACTCACATAATCAAGTCTGTTGTCTTTGCCCACCAAGGTCTTTCTGTTCTCAGCCATGAAACGAGCTCCGGAGAGCAGACAGCCGCAGCCCCGGCGCCAGGTGTCCCAAAGACACGTATTCTGTGCTCAGATGTAATGGCGTGTGAACGGTGACTCGTCAGAAACACTTTCTGCATCCCACACAGTCTGCACGCCTAAATTGGGAAGCATTCCAGACAAAAAGCGCTCACACTAAACTTCTAAATGTGCTCACAGCCTCACTTCAACAGATGAGACACGAGTACAGAACTTTTCAGCTTTTGTCTTTTTATTCACTAGGTGCTAAAAAAGACACTCGGTGGTCCCATCTGCCTCTTCATCCACAAGCGTGACTGTGGCAAAGTTGTTTTGGTTTTCTCTTTTGCCTAATTATTAAAGAGGTTCTAGAAGAACTTTTTTACCAGTGAAAACTGTTTGTTAAGCCTCTACAAAGCTTATGCAACACGGCTGGGCTCACAAGGGCCCAGGAGCCATTAATGCCGCCTACACATCAGGGTCAGTACGGTCGGGCGAGGGTGGCGTCAGCTCGGACTCGTACGGGCGGTGAAGTCTTCACATGTAGTTCCGAAGGACTTCTCAAGAATGCGGAAATCCCCGAGTTCGTGGGCAATGTTTAAGATGAAAGTCTGTGGTGTCCTCCACAGTAAAATAAACAAAGACGAACTTGAGCTGTGCTGCTTCGGAGACTCTGAACCACATCACTTTATTAATTTGCTGCCTGTGTCCTCATAGAACTCTGTCCTCCACTGCTGTGGGACACACACACACACACACACACACACACACACACACACACACACACACAATGCTTTCTCCTCCCACCAAGCAGCTGTCTGACAGCTCGATGGGGCGAGAGCTCCATGCAGTTCCCTGCTCCGAGGACAGGGCCACACACACACAGCTCTCTCTCTTGTCTCGTTCCCACTGAGCGGGAGCTCCGTGCTCCAAACAGACAAAATTACTCGACAGCATCCAGCATGAAAATGAATCACGGAGGCAAATCGCCTGCTGGCTGATTTTACTCGCCAATCAGACGCGGTAGGTCATTTCAGCCGGCATTAGTCGGACCTCTGGGGAGGAGGTCTGAAAAAATGAGTTGCCCCAGAACGGAAACCTCAGACGGGATCAATGTGTGAAACCAAATTTCGGTACCGTACTGACGCTTTTGTGTAAGCGCCATAAGAAGCCCTACAAAGGAAAGTCTGGTCTGCCCCGCCCACTTGGCTTCACATGATGACTCTATGACTCTGCATGAAGCTAGAGACTCTGAACAGTCATACAGTATCTCAATAGCACAATAGAGTAAATATGGATCTATCTGACTGTGTTGCCCTTAAAGCACTTCTCTAAATAAACAAGCTTAGATGGTCACAAATAGCTATAAAATATGTAGTATGAGTTGTTTAGTTGAATAGTTCATGATTTATTTAAGTTTATTCGAAGTCTGAGAAAGCCTGGCCAGCCAGACTCGTCCTCTGTTTAATTCTGCACAGAGAAAGAGTCTGGTAACTCACAGGCAGAGAGGCACTTGAGGGGCGGGGCAAGCCAGGTCAAAAATAACGAATCAGAAAAAAGATGGAAATGTCGACTGTACTGCGCTACGCTGTAGTTTTTTAGCTGTAGTCAAAAATGGCGTCTGGCGACAGCTCAGACATCTTTCTTTAGAATTAAGGCTTTTAGCGCTTCTACTTGTCATGGTTTTAAAGACGTGTCCAAGTCATTTAGAACAGAGGAAAGAGCCGCAGCAAACTCCGCTTCAGTCGCCATGTTTATGACAAACTCGGCGTCGTGGTGTGTGACGTACGCTACTCACCACTGAATGGCTCAGTTAGAATTCTCAGGGGGTGGGGTTATTTGAATAGGAAAGTTCCCAGACCCTTTCTCTGTGCAGAATTAAACAGAGGAGGAGTCTGGCAAGCCAGGCTAGGAATTCCCAGTGAACTCTGGAATGGTACGCGTGTGCTCAGACATCCTTCTTCGTTGCGTTTCTCTCATCTGTTAGCAGTACCTCAGGCTAGTGTTAGCAGTAGCTTGGGATAGCATTGTTCTGCGGTTAGCATTACCGTGACTAACATTTACATACTGTCAACACTGAAGTGGGTTGCCACATGCAGAAATATGGGTGTGTGTCTAAACTTATGATGTATTAAACCAGCTTTTGTCAAAAACAAACCGTTTCTCTGCAGTCCTTACTACATTACTAGCATGCATTACAAAGCAGGTCTAAAGCCTGACTCATGTCTCTGCGGCAGTGAGGAGACACGCAACGCCATAATCCGTCGTTGCGGGCCTGCTGGAGAGCCCTCGCAAGGACGGACAGAGTCGAGCTCTCTTTTCTAAACATCTGTCCGTCGAGATGGAAAACGCAAGCTTTCGATTGGTCAGGGCACCGCTGTCGTCTACACCGCCGCCATTGCACCCTCGAGAGCCGAGGATAACTAGCGGCAGACACGGAGAAGCTTGAAGAATACCTCGCGAAAAGACTCTAAAAATATGAACGTTTAGTTCCCCCCGTGACTGGAGGAGTGAAAAGATGCGCAGCAGACATTTTATTTGTGGACGGAAATGACAGGAAACGTGGGTTTAGAGGTGGCGAGCACATGAAGAGGTGGAGGAGGATGAGAGACAAATATGTCCGTGTTAAAAAGTCTCTTTTATACAAAAAACACAATATAAACACACTATCTTGGACCCGATACATGACAGGATACCACAGAACAGTGCTACGCCCTCTGCTGTCCTGGCGGGGAATTGCTTTGCAACGCTCTCCAGGAGACGGAGAAGTATGAGGGCAAAATGTCTCTGTCCCTGTTGGAGCTGACAGAGATGTATAAATCCAGCTAAAGCCAGCACGGGTGTTTGGGTTAATTAGATATCATAAGCTGCCAGCTTCCCACAACAAAGGGTGAAGGTAGGTGCAGTTCTTTAGTCTAGGGCCACTTTAAGGGTTTAAATGAAAAAATAAAGGAAAATAGCTAAAGAAATAGCAATAAATAAAGCCCTCTTTGGGGCTGTAAAGTTCAGCATGCCTTCACAGTAGAAATACTATTCAAAGTTCCAATGGGTCACAAGAACATTGAGTTTATGCGTCTCCACAGTCTTTTACTTTGAAATCCTTTTTCTCTTAACTTGGGTTTTTCCGATTACCATAGGATTTATAAATGAAACAACTTTTTACAATCTGCACACTTGAAGGTCCACAAGGAACCATGAAAAGGAATAAAGTGGTGGTGTTCTAGAGCCCCAGCTGACAGACATGTCCTCTTGTGTTAAATTTGGACTTCACAAGAACGTTTCTGAACAAATACACACACAGACACACGAACCAGTCGCTCTTCTGTCTTTACACCCAACCAGCATTGAAGTCAGATGTTTAAATAAAACATAAATGAGATGTAATGAAGGACAATGCAAGCCCATTAATCAAACATTATAAACTGAGAGGAGCTCCTAGTCGTTTTAGTGCAGTAATCCTTACATACTGTAATATACATTGCTCCATGGGACAATCAACACTGTTTGAAACGAAGAAGCAAAAATAAAACAAATAAATAAATAAATTAATTAATAGTCCAAGATAATAAAGATAGTTAACATATTTTGAAGCGGGGCTTAGCAGAAAGATTACAAAACAAGACTTTTTAAGAAAAAAATGTGTGTTTTGTCTATTTTACTGGCATTTCTTTCCATGGTTTTTCTCATATGTTGTCATATGGTGTCATTTTTTTCTGATTCATTGTGTTTTTCTCCTCTCTTTCATCAAAGACATGAATAAAACATCATTTTACTCTTCTTATATATCACA